ATCACCATGACTACCACCATATTTTGCACCACCACCACTCCCAGAATCACCACCCGCACACTCACACACATCGACACACGCAGTCATACTCTGTCCAGCACTTTGAGCATGCTGGGGTCGCCACCCTTGCTTGGATGGTTATCATGGGAGACGGCCTGCACAACTTCAGTGATGGACTGGCAATAGGTAACGTACCCACACACTGAGAGACCCATGCAAGCTCATTGCTGTAGCATAGCTTTAGTGATGGTCAACCTTCACACTAAACTTGCTCCTCTGATGAATCCCTTCTCTTCCACAATCGCAGCTCAGCTGCAGTTGATTGTGATTATTCTGCAGACCCACAGATATAGTATTTGATTTTTAATAGGTCAGTTGGAACTAAGATAATGATGTGTTTAAATATTATAAAGAGAGGCGTTTTGTGAGTGAAGTTTTTTATTTTTTTCAGTAGCCTTTGAACGGCCGGAGATATAAAAGGTTAACATGTAATTATTATTAGCCAACAAAAAAAGAGCTACCACTTTATTTTTGTCTGAAATTGACACAGAACACAATTATTTCTATGGACTTTTGTAACAGCTATGTCTTCAAATTACATTGCAAGTAGTGATCAAAATCACCTAAAAATTACCTAGAAATTAAAATAGTACAATAGTAATGGCACAGCTGTTTAACTCAATTAATGAAACTATTCCATAGCGATATACCCATGTATTTTAGGCTTAGAGTGTACCAGAATGTTAATCACTGAAATAATGCCACCAGACAGCACTGCAGAGGATTGTTTTCTGAACTTGTCACCTTTTACACTGCCCATGAGTTTTCATGTCTGCAAACACATCTAATTCAACTTATCAGTTAATTGCCAAGTTGAGTTGGAGTATTAGAGAAGGGAAAACACCAAACTGTGATGTATACACTAAATTTGAGAGGTTTTAATTATACAAACGCTTTAAAAAATCAAATTTAAAAACAGCAACAGTAAAATACAAGAACACAGAAAATAGTTACCTCTTGCGCTAAATGTATCTTTTAAAAATCTGTTTGTATGTATGTTTTTTCAGGAGCAGCATTTACAGAAGGTTTGTCCAGTGGTCTCAGCACATCAGTCGCTGTATTCTGCCATGAGCTTCCTCATGAATTGGGTAAGTAAATGTCCATCTTTGTCATTACCATTAACTTTTGTGAGCTCATGTGTTTGCATGTGCAATTTGGAACCCTGCAGTTTGTGAGTTTTGAGCCCATGTTGGCTTTTCTGACTTGGGTTTAAACAATGAACCGGCACAAAATAAATTAGATGAATTGAGCATTGTCAGAATGACTTATATTAGATATACCTCATTGTATGTCTGCTCTAGAGCAGATGATTGTTTATGTTCTTCACTCTTCTATTGGAGAACACACAAAGTGATCATAACTCTTCTCCCTCTGTTCAGGTGATTTTGCGGTCCTGCTTAAGGCTGGGATGACGGTGAAACAGGCAATTCTCTATAACCTACTCTCAGCCCTAATGGGCTACCTGGGGATGATAACGGGAATTCTGATTGGCCACTATGCGGAGAATGTAGCCATGTGGATCTTTGCTCTCACAGCTGGACTCTTCATGTACGTCGCACTGGTGGACATGGTGAGTCGGCATTGAAACTAAAATGGCTATGCCCACTTTGTATTTATTCATTTATAAAATACTTGTTGCAAAGCAAATCTCACAGATAGCCTTGTTTGTAATTTGTGTGTAGGTCCCGGAGATGCTGCATAACAATGCCAGTGAGGCAGGGTTCAGTCACTATGGGTTCTTTGTCCTGCAGAATGCTGGCATACTGCTGGGTTTTGGCATCATGCTCGTCATTGCCGTGTTCGAGCACAAGATTCAACTCAGCATAGACTTCTAAATCCATGACCATCAGTTACACCAAACCTAGTTGGTAGCTTCTAGGATAATACTTGGTTCCTTATCAACCCATGTCAGTAGAATGGACCTGTACCGTTGGCCAGTAGCCATTTTCTGCTCTTACACTTGGCTGCCCATGGAAACATTTAGCTGGGAACAGTCAGTTGGACAAATGGGTATTTTGGAACTTGATGTAATAATTAGATGATTCATGGAAATCAGGTCTGTGACTTTAGTAGTTCAGGAATTACACTGATTATCTGAGAGGATGCTCAGTTCAGAGACTCCATAATCACCTGGTCATCTCACCCTGCTTGATGTGTTCAATGTGGTTTGCTCAGTGTTTATTCTATGGCTGAAGTTACATTGTGGCTGTTAAACTTGCAGTCATACAGTGAATAAGTTATCTCCAGTTTAAATAACCATTCATCCCTATAAATACAGTCTCAGCAGTCACAAACATTGACTAGAGTCTGTAAATATCACTGGCATTCTGTATTCACTCTGCCCTTCATTCATTCCATCAGTGCATCACTTACTGTATTTTTATTGTTACAAATGTCCATTGTGGCAGCTTGTGTGGCAACTGTTATTATACGTTATGTGCTGTAACAGTGCTGAATGTGCATGTATACATGTATACATTTGGAGTATGATGGAGTTTCCTGTGTTTCACATTCCAGTAAAGATTCAGAGAATCTCGGCAAGATCTGTTTTTTTCACTCTGCAAATTTGTGAGTTAATTTAACTGACAGTGTTTATTTGCACTTTGTTTATACAGAAGATTTTAGAATTGTTTTTAATGTACAGTTGAGGCTGACATGCATACAACCATTTTTTATGTGAGTATTGATTCCTTCATGCACCAGCTCTCACTATGCCTAGTTCAGTCTTTGGCAAATTGTTCTGCATGCAGTTAGAATCTGTTGACCACAAGCTTAGATTCCAATGGCTTCTTATACAATAACTGAGACAGAACCATAAAAACCTGTGCTTCTTACACCTGTAGAACCACCCTGAATACACCTCAGTGTTCCACCACCTCCCAAAGACAGAATGATGAGAACAGTGAGACACTGCAGCTGTTTGTTACACATTTCAGAGCAGCATTTAACTTGAGTCAAACAGTTATCAGACCTAGTTTCTTTTGCCAGCTGCCCATCCCAACATTCCTGGCTGTTCCACATTCATTCGTCATGATGACTGCAGGAACAGTGGTCTTCCCTGAAGCATATTGAAAGTCTGTAGTCTGCACCATCTAAGGGTGAGGAGCAGGGTGTGGCGTCCATGCCCAGATTATGTTTAGTTTTGGCAGTGGCCCATGGACCCGAATCACCTTGTCAAAACAGGTGATGAATGTGTTGCTGGAGAATGTTTCCTCACTGGTGTGAAGCTAATCATTGCAACCCAGTGCGGTGCTCTTTTCTTGCGGGTCTGCAGTGCAGAGCTGTTGGAAAAAGGTCACTTCCCATCCACACTCAAGGTCTGTGTGGCTGCTATTTCTTTGAATAATGGGTTTGTGGTTTATTATCAGTTCCCTGCTGAACAGCACAGGGTGCCTTCACTCCTCTCAGTCATCTGTGAGAAGTGTGCTGTGAGAGTTAATCTTGATGTTAGACTCACTGTCCATTCTGTTATACACTCAGTCAGATACGATAGCTCATCTGCACAGTTTGAGCCTTTAGTTCTTCATCAGTGGTCACAGGACACTTGGCTGGATATTATTGGTTGGTGGACTGTTTTCAGTCCAGTAGTGACACTGAGGTGTTTAAAAACTACGGCAGCGCTACAGTCTGTGATTGTAGTGCACCTATATGCTAAGTGGAGCTGATAACATGGGTAATGAGTGTAGAAACAAGGTGGCTGTTATCCACTGAAAACATTTGGCATATTATGAAACAAAACAAAAAAAAACAAAATATGACAATGGAGACCTTGAACTGTTGAACAGCTTATATATATATATATATATATATATATATATATATATATATATATATATATATATATATATATTTATCTCTCAAGCAAGAATAGGTATGTGTTTTTATTTATTTTTCTGTCTATGGACTACACCTCTGTTTCAGTAGTGACATGAAAACATAGGACAGCATTATTTAAATCGTCTGAAAGTTTCTTCTTTGAAAAATTAAACTTCTCTATCTTTGAAAAGAAATAAAAAAGGAAGTTAAAAAAAAGCAACGTATTTAGGGGTGAGGGTTTAGGACAGCCACCTCCCAGTACTAATGAACTTATTCTGTAGAATGATCCATGTATATTATATCCAATAAGAATAAGAATAATTAACAGCACAAGTTCAGGAAGATTTCAGTAAAATATTCCATTTTTCTGTTAGTTCATCCCCTGTTGGGGATCCTTTCCCCGCCGTCACGAAACTTGAAAAATTAAGTGATGCGATATACCTAGCAGTCACTTTACAAAATGAACCAATCAAGTAAGGGGATAAGCTTCCACACGTGCAGTGGACCACACCAGATTTCGCTAATGCAAACCCTAGACCACCAATTTCAGGAGGACCTCAACCACTCCCGGGCTTGAAAACAACTTTCACACTTGGCCAAACGAAGTGTACTGCAGATCAAGCGGCCCCGGATCTGACCCTGTGAAAACGCCCTAAATGTCAGCATGCAGACTGAGGTTATAGTTGAATTCCACAAGGAAAAAAAAATAGGCATAACCTAATAGGTTAGGTTACATTGTGCGCATGTGTGTGGCAACTGCAGCTGTTGTCTTCAATTGAGTTGGCTAAGTACCCCCTAGAGAAGGGGGGGGGGGTCACTCTGTGAAGTGACTAGGCCTTCTGAAGCCAAATTAACTGCCCCAACATACCAACACACACACACAACCAGCACCAAACCCAATACTGTACTGTAGTTGAATATTTCAAAGGAGAATCATCAGCCTAATATAATCTATGCACACACACATATACACATACGTACTGAGACTTTGTAAATTATCGGGGCTTTCCGTTTCGTTTCCCTGTACTGCTACTTCCAAAAATGCCCCCGTGTCCTCTTACAGTTGTATTTATATCTTTGAGGTGTGTACGAGTGTGTGTGTGTGTGTGTGTGTGTGTGTGTATGTATGTGTGTACGTGGGTGGGGGCTGTCTGGCAGGACAGGTCTTTGCGTTTGCAACAGTCAGTCTTCTTCTCCAGGTCCCACAGCCTGGCTGATTTCCTGCCCACCAGGGTCTGTGTGTGTGTGTAAGGACTTACCCTCTCCAAACTACCAGCAGTCTGTGAGTTGTGTGTTGGAGATGGAGAAGAGAGGAGATATCATGTTGGGCGTTGAAGATGAGTCTGGTCAGCCAGTGTCAGCACTGTCGATCCTATCCCTGCTAGAACGCGTCTCTACCATCATCGATGGTGTGCAGGCCAGCCAGCAGCGCATGGAAGAACGCCAGCAGCAGCTCGAGACATCCGTAACTGCTGTCCAATCAGAGCTCCTCAAACTGGCCCAGGACCATGGAGCCACAGCGAGCACTGTGGACAAGTTGCTGCAGAAGGCCCGGCGTGTGAGTGCTCATGTAAAGGAGGTGCGTTCACGTGTGGAGAAACAGAATGTCCGCGTGAAGAAAGTGGAGACCACGCAAGATGAACTTCTCACCAGGAACAAGTTCAGAGTTGTCATCTACCAGGTACTCTCACACACAATAATCATGTATTTGCATTGTTTTAATGAATCCAGAGTGTGGTTTTAAGTAATATCTGAGTATGCAATCTGAAGCAGTAGTGTGCTGTTGTGAGAGTAAGTTGGTTGTGATTTGGTAAGAGCACAACATAAGCTAAATGACTAATCAGGCTAAGAGCATCTCCTTAGGTAACATCAAAGAGTGAAGTAATTCAGTAAGTAAAACTAAAGACTATAATGGAGCTTTTATGTAGTATTTTGGCATTGCCGTGTACCACATCTGTTAGATTTTAGACACACTGGTATAAATCAGAAATGTGCTTTCCTCTTTGAGCAGCTTATACTAATAAAGTTAGTAATAAATCAGATTTTTACAGATAGGAAATAAAACTTTTTCTAGGCAGTTTTATCAGTCAAGCCCTATTAATCAAGTAAACTAGCTTAATTTCACAAACTTTTTTCATGATTTCCTTCAGGGTGAGACTGAAATGCCGTCTGTTGCTGTGACAAAGACCCCTAAGGGGGCAGGGCTTGCCAATGTGGAGGTGGAGCCTGATGAATATGAGATCCCTGCAGACCTTTCTTCTGATGAGGAATATATGGTGGTGGAGGAGGCGGAGTCGTCACGGGCGGCACGTCTGAAACAGACAGGCTTGAAGGGGATAGAGAACATCAAAGCGGCGTTCTCCAAGGAGAACATGAGTAAGACCCGTGAAAGAACCCGTGAGAACCTCAGCAAGACTAAGGAGAGTCTGAGCAAGACAGGACAGACTCTGGGCACCAAGTTCAACAACCTAGGTGAGAAGATCATTCCCTCTGAGCAGCGGGAGAAGATGCGTCAGAGTGGCGAGAGGCTGAAGGAGAACATTGCAAAGAAAGCTCCCAGCATCAAACTCAAAAAGGAACGTGCTGTCGCTGAGGGCGAGGAAGGAGCTGAGGCGGAGGCTGCTGTGACCCCACCCAAAGGCAGGAAGTCCAACCCAGAGGTCACCTACACAGAGGTTGTCACAGAGAGCAAACGGGAGGGTCCTGTGTCTGAGGAAGGAGCCACCCGTATTCCGGAGAAAGAGTAGAGCAGGTTCCCCGTGGATACAGAAGAGAAATGCGGAAAATGGTGGAGGAGGAGGAAGAGATAGAGGGAGAACAGGAGTGTGAGAAAATGAGATAGCATTGTACAAATGAAATTAGGTGCTTAAGAAAGAGAACGAGTATCAGAGGTCATAAGTGAGAGAGAACTAGACTGTGTGTGTGAGCGTGTGGATGTAATTACCCAGTTCACAAGAAATATCCTGGTTAAAACCTTTTAGCTTAAATCCCACTGTGAACGCATTACAGAGGTGTCAAACTCAGTTCCTGGTCGGACACAGCTTTGCAGAAATTAGGGTTTTCCCTCTTCTAACACTCTGAATTCAGTTAAGATAAGTTGAATTAGGTGTATTTAATGAGATTTAGAGAAAGCTAAACTCTGCAGTGCTGTGGCCCACAAAGGCTGGAATCTGACAATGAGAGTCAGTCAGTGAGACAACAGTTGTTTGTGTCATAGTTCCCAAAATCAGGAATAATTCCCAATCCTGGGGGACCACAACATTGCCAAAATCAATGTTCATCACTCCCAGCCTTAAACTGAACACAAGCCCAATCCACCTCATAAAGCCCTTGATAATTATCCTGTGAGTTGAATTAACTGTGCTGAATCAACAAGAATACAGAGCTGCACAGAAATCATGGAATTGTTTTAATGTCTAATTGATGTCTGTGAGATTTGGTGTGTATGAGAGAGATCAAGAGAAAATGAGAGAGGAAATGTCTGCTTGTTTATCCAGTTAGGAGCTTACTTGAGAGGATTTTAGTAGAAATGTAAAGCCAGTAAATGACATCTGTATGGAAAAGGAGAGTTATTTTATTCCTTCACTTTTTTCTGTTTTGCGCTGCTTTCACAGTCTTGGGTCTGCATTAAGTTTTTCTATGATTAAAGTCACATTTATGAATACAAGTAATGCGTCCTGAATCCAAACACAGTGCATTTGTGCATGAGTGTGAGTGTATTTGCTTTCATGAAAGTGACTAAACTCATCCTTAAAGTACCCCTAAAGTCATACATAAAAAAGATCCATCCATGTTGATTATAAATTGTTAAATATTTTAATGTATTATTGTTTATTGCCCAAAATCTGGGAGAAAAAGTGCATGGTTATGCAAATTGTAAATGTTCCCCTGGACCCTGATCAATTGAAGCACCTTTCGAAATGTACAAAACTAAGCTGCTACATAGTGCAGATTAACTGAGAAAGCCATCCAAGAGGAGCTAAGCATTAAAGAAAACACATTTTTGAGTGCAATGGGTCTTTAAAAAGGCCATGCAGTGTACTTACATATAAATATGAACATATAACAATGAATTTTTATTAGGTTTTTACATATTAAATAAGCATCCAAAGTTGGTTAAATGTCTTACCTGTTCTTATTGCTTTGAAAGAGGTTTCTTCAAAGTCCTGTTGGGCCCAGGTCTTTGGCAAATGAGGGCTCATCCTAAAATGATAAAACAGAAGCTTGCTGACCAGCCAATAAAGAACTAAAATATTCACCAGTGACACATTCAGCTTCTATTATCAAGCATTCAAAGTTGGCCCAGCACCTTTATATGGATGAAACTACCAAATTAGTTCAAACTGCAGTCCCAGAATAAAAAAAATGTTTTCAGACCTTAGATATTTACAAGGATTATGTTATGATCCATTTAAACCCAAGTCATTAACTGAGATAGTAAGCTAAATACAAAATAATTATTTATAGGGTTTTTTATTGGGAGGTGGCATCTGAAAATAATATTTTTTTGTATTTTTTTCAATGTTGCCTCTAAAATATCTTTCTGATTTCTTAAATTAAAAAACTTTATTTAAAAAGTGCTGTCCCACGTTTTCATGAGTTTTTGTACATGGGTGGAAACTCATTTTAGCCACACCCTGGATTTTAGAGCAATCCCTGGCTCCATGGTGAGCAGTTAGATCCCATTGTTTTGAGGTAAATGTGCCCCAAGGTCTGAAAATCTGTGTGTATTTTTTTGTGAGAAATATCTTGATTTTGTGTGTGTACAGCTGTTCAGAGTTGTGTTCGCTAGTCATGTACAGGATAGCGTTTTTGAGTTTTGCTCAAAATAAGCTAAAATTATCACTACTGAAACGGCCACTACATAAACATTTAGTGTATTTCAGTAGTGTTATGATTTGTTGATGAATTGTTAAATCATTTACTTTCATAAAATAAACAGAAGTACAGGTCACTCAAAGCAAAGAGATTTTTCTCTGAAGTCCAAGTCAGTTAAAATTCTGAAATGTGTTTTTAACTCAGTAGAATTGGTAGAATGATCCCAATACTATATTTGTGTGTGCGTGTCAGATAGACTGTGAGTCAGAGTGTGTATCTGACATGTCTGCTAAAAAAAGATGACTTGAAATAAATATGAACAGCTGAGCAGCTCTACTGGAATTTTCTCTCTCTCCCTCTCTCTCTCTCTCTCTGTCTTTCCCTCTCTCTCTCTCTCTCACACACACACACACACACACACACATGTAGATACACACATACTTTATTAAACACTAAGACAGTGGTTCATGCCACATCTTTAGAAACACAATTTACACACCTGTGCTTTGCTGCTACAGAAACCAGAACAACAATACATAGACACTGTAGCACTGCCATACAGAAACACTTCTACAGGGACATGCACATCAGAGAAATCAACACGTTATCACGAGACTAAGTAGTAGTACACTCTTAAAAATGATCGTTCTTCAAGGGTTCTTTAGTAAAGAAAATGGTTTTATATAGAGCCATATACACTCAAAGAACCTTTTGCATGATTAAGGGGTTCTTTGCATCGCTAAATGTTTTTTTCAGATTGATGGAGAATGTGCTGTAGATAGTTCTATATAGCACCAAAAAGGGTTCTTCTATTGTTACGATGTCAAGCCTGTAACAATAGAAAAACCCGTTTCAAAAAGGTTTTATTTAGAACCATATAAAACACATTCTCCCTTCCTGTTTTATCGGTTTCTGAAATGTTCTAGATTGTTTTTACAAATGTAGCCAATGTGTGAAGTAGTCAGGGGGTCCCGTTAGTGCTCCAGGGTTGGCAGGCTGCAACGGCAGCAAAATGTTGGGTGGAAATTTCTCAGCTTGAAATATTTTCATTGTTCTGTTTGATTTCTAGATGGGAATCACTTCATGGACCTGCTTGTAATACACCAACTAACTCACTTGAAAAATTTTCCACAAGAGGCGCAATTAGCATAAAAATAGCTTTTGGTGCTTTGCATCACTGACACTGTGTGTAGATAATATCCTAGGAGAGAATTTTGTTTTCTCCTTTCAATTTTACAGTAGAACCTCGGAATCTTGATTCATGGAAATAAAGACTTTAAGTAATGACGGCTGAAAAAAGCTCTGCTGTTCTGCGCAGGCGTACATTTGATCACAAATCTGCTGTTCTACAAAGGCAGAAGCATCACGTTGCCATTGTCGCAAAAACGTGAGGTTTAAGCGAGTTAATTTGACATTTTTTACGTATTGAATTAAACTTATATTTACCGTGGGCAGTTATTCTTTCAAAGAGTTTTGTCAGTTTTTCTGAATATATACCATTATAGACTTTCGATTCAATAAAAAAGACTGTTGACGTTCAGTGAAGCAGTTTCACAAAACGTTTGCTCACGTTTCAGTCTGATTGAACTCAGCCCTGGTTTCCTGACGACAGTAACTAAAACAATCCAGCACAGGTCGTTCGCACTTAGCTTAGCAGTTGGCTTCTTTCGGTGCGTATAAAATGCACAAACTGTCGATAAACACGCACAGTGAAAGAATTTGACTACCTATGTGGTAACTACTTTGACAGAATACATGGCAGACGATGGCCGGAGAGGAGAGGACGATGAACGGGGTCCAGGAGTACAGCATCAGATGTTCGTGGTTATGGAGGACTTATTGGATAAGCTAAAGCTGTTGGATTATGAGGAGCAAGTTCTTGTAAAGCACAACATGAAACCGTTGTCTAGGTAAATGTTTCTAAAGCTAAACGGCATTGGCTACAGCAAGAAAAGACTAAACTGATTTTTCGCTGCCACGCGAGAAGGTTAGCTAGGTTAGCTAGCTAACTAGGTTTGCCTAAGATTAGCCGCTACGTAACGCTAACTGGCTAATTTTACCCAGCGCAGTGTTGGTGAGTGGCAAAATTAGTTTTTAAGCGGTCGGCCCTGTTATGCTTGTTTTCAAACCCACACAGGTTAGCTAGCTACCACTGCGCTGAAAAAAATTGCAGATGCCACAATCAGAAGCGACAGGCTGCCAAGAACACTTTTTTGCTAAAATTGGTTTTGCTGTTTGACAGCATGCCAAACACACACATACAGCTATATACACAGTCAGACGTACCAATGAACCCGTTTTACTTGACAAGTTGTTGTTGCTACTCAAAAAGGCTGTGCCATAAACTGACTTGCCTGTATCAAATCTTGATTCTGTTTTTCCCTTCTCTCTCTCTTTATCTCTGTTTTCTTGCCCTCTCCTAGGCATTATTTTGTAGCAAGTCCATACACAGCAAATAACCCTGGGGAGCAGTTCTATATGTTCAGCGTGATCGCAGCATGGCTCATAACACTGTGTGGCCGGCCGTTTGAGACCCCACAGGAGCATGATGACCCCAACGCAACTGTCTCCAACATCCTTTCCCAGCTCCGAGCCTTGGTCAGTTATAACCATGCGGGAACACAGTATTGTGTGTGAGTGTGAGTGTGAGAGAGAGAGAGAGAGAGAGAGAAAAAGCAGCTGAGATACAAACGTGGTACCATTGTTGTAGTAATTAGTACTGTAAAAGACAAAAAAGGACAAACAAATGTCACCTCCAACCTTTCCCTTATGCCTGGTGTGTATGTGTGTGGTTTTATGTAGGGTGGGCTGGTCGATTTCCCACCCTCTAAACTGAAGTCTGGTTCTGGAGAGCATGTGTGTTATGTTCTGGACCGCCTGGCAGAGGAAGCACTGAAAAGTAGAGACTTCATCTGGAAGAAGTAACACATATGCACATATGCATACACACACATACACATCAAAAATGATTAACTAACAAGAACTTAGAACAACAACACTTGCTTTCTGTCCCACTTTTTTTTCTCTCAGGCCTCTTTACCCCTCTGAAGAGTTGGAGGAGGAGTCTGTGATGGAAGATGATGCTGAGCTCACGCTTAGTAAAGTGGAGGAGATGACTGTGAGGCAAACACAATTTGCAAAATACTAATAAAAACAGGAAGCACTAAATGGTAAATTCAGTTTGACCTGTATTAAATTGAAAATGGCACAGAAACACAATATTTGATGTTTTACCATATAAACTTCATTGGTTTTAGTAAATATACACTCATTCTAGACATGATGACTGCATTCCAGATAAGTTGGGACAGGAACATGTTAGCCACTATGATGCATCCCATTGCTTTAAACAGAACTTAATAATCATTTGGGGACTGAAGACAACAGACTTTTGTTGTTTTGTTAAGTCTTCAATCATGCAACCATATAGGGCCTTTGTTATCATTATTTTGAGCTTTATAATGTACCACATGTTTTCAGTGAAAGACAGGCAGGCTACTTTAGCACCTGTACTCTCTGATTATGCAGCTGTGCTTTTGCAACATGTGCAGAATATAGCTTAGTGTTGTCATGTTTAAATAAGCATGAACATTCCTGAAAAAGACATTGTCTGAAAGGCAGCATATGTTGCTCCAAAATGTTCCTTCAAAATTAGTGTCCTAATTTAATGGTACCTTCACAGATGTGCAAGTTACCCACTAATATACCCCCATAACATGACAGCCCCTTTGCTTTTGAACTTTTTGCCAGTTACAATCTGGATGGTCCTTTTCTTCTTTGGTCTCTGAGAACACAACATCCATAATTTCTATAAACTCTCTGAAACATTGACCCATCAGACCACAATACACGTTTCCAATGAGCATCAGTCCATTTTAGATGAGCTTGAGCCCAGAGAAGTTGGCAGCATTTCTGGATGTTGTTGACATTGACTTTCACTGTGCATAGTACAGTCTTAACTTGCATTTGTGGATGCACTGATGAACAGTGTTTACTGATGATATTGTTCTTAAGGTATTCCTGAGTCCATGTGATATCTATGACATTCTGTTTTTAACACGGTGCCGTCTGAGGGGCCGAAGGTCACGGGAATTCAGTTGTGCTTTTTGGGCTTGCTCTTGATGCACATTTCTCTGAATGTCCCTAAATCTTTTGATGTTATTATGCACTGTAGAGGGTGAAATACCTAAAATCTTTTCAATCTGTGCCTGATGAACATTATTTTTTAAACTGCTGATGCATTTTTGGCAAAGTGGCGAGCCTTGACCCAACCAAAGCATGATTGCACCGCCTGTTTAAGATGTTTTTTGAACATTTCACAATGTTCCCAGTCTCAAATTGCTCCTGTCACAACTTTTCTTGGAACATGTTGAAGGCATCAATTTCAGAATTAGCGTATATTTACAAACAATGAATTTGATAAGGTAAAACATTACATATCTAGCCTTTCTACAGTTTTTGTTCAAATACGTGTCAAAGTAGATTTATAAATCACTGCTTCCTGTTTTTGTTTTCATTTTATCTACTGTTGTAACTTTTTGGATTGAGTTTGTATTTTTAATTATGTTTAAGTATGTTTAAAGGTATCTTTTTGTTGTTTGTATTTTAGAATAATAATACACACTCTATGTACAGTACAGGATTAAATTATGTGTGTGTGCTTGTGTTGGTGTGTGTGTAGGAGGAGCCTGATGAGGAAGAGGATGTTATTGATCTGGAAGAGCTAAAGACCAGAAGCAATCAGAGTGTGAGTTAAAATCTAACAGCACCTTACCAAGTGTCCAAACCATTCAGGCCACATAGAACACTGACAAAGGTGCTTTAATGGAGTACCAAGTGAAACAGGACCACGAAAGCATTTCGGCAAAATGGCAAGCCTCAGCCCATCCTTACTCATAAAGGACTAGGGATTTCCTGGATGCCTTGTTTGTTAATTTTATATTCAATTTAATTCAGTTCAATTTATGATTTATTTATTTATTGTTTTTGTAATAGGCATTGTACCAAAGCAGCTTTACAGGAAACCTGGGCCAAAGAGCCAGATAAGCAAGCCAAGGGTGACTGTGGCACAGAAAAACTCCCTAAGAGCAAGAAAGCTTGAGAGGAGCCAAGACGCAGGAGAGGAATCCATCCTCCTCTGTTCAACATCAAATAGCAAAACAATTATGCAAGAGCAATATGAATGAAAAATAAACACCAGCTAAGGGTACACCTTTGTAAAGAGATAAACCGCAGGTACTAAAAATAGCAATGTTATTATTTTGTTTTAGAACTGCAGGCCAGTAAAGGGAAATGCAATGTCATTGCGGACTCAAGAAGTAAGAGTTCTGGCCTTTGATCATTGGCTGTTTGTTCCAGTTCCTACAGTGGAGATGTGGCCAGTGTCTTCACTACTACGCCATCACTAACATTAGAAAATATCTATCAAACAATTTATTCAATTGTTCTCTCTCTGTGTCTTTCTCTCTCACTTTCTTTACAGGAGGTGAGCCACCCTGAAATGGTTGTGACTGAAGCTTATGTAATGCCAGTATTGCATATCTATGTATGAGCGTGGATGTGTAGTGTGTGTATGTAATGCATATGATTGTGAATGGGTGTGTGTATAGGAGGCAGGTGGGGCGAGGCCGGAGATGATCCTGGAGTCAGTGACAGATTCAGCCGAATGGAATCTGGAGGTGGAAAGAGTTCTGCCCCAGCTCAAAGTCACCGTCCGATCGGATGTCAAGGTCTAAAGTTATTGCAAACATTTGTGCAACATCTGTTTTTTTTTTTGTTTGTTTGTTTTGTACCATGCTGGTTAAGTTGTACTGATTAAAACACTTTCTCTCAGACTTATGCATACAGCTGGATTGAAATTTATGAGACATAAACTAGAAGCCAACTATCTTTCACCTTGGATTTTGAATAATAGCCAACTATTATTATTATTATTATTATTATTATTATTATTACATTTTAGGATTGGAGAATCCATGTAAGCCAAATGCATCAGCACCAGGACGGCATCAAAACATCTCTGAAGGAGGCCAAGGTTTGTTATATACTCTTACATAGAAAACAGACACACACACACACACACACATTGTTAGTGCCAGTGTTCTGATTCCAGTCACCACCATTGTGAACGGTTCTGACTTAATAAGTTTCTTTAGAATGGCACATGACTCATCAAACCATTCTGAATGACTTGTGTACTTTGTGTGCGTAATCAGAATTGTTACAAATTTTGAATGTGGTGGAATCCCCCTTTAATGCTTTTGGAGCTCACTGTTTGTGTCTGACTGAGCCCCTGTCTGACTCTTTCTGTTTTTCTGTCTGTGGCTTTCAGGGATATCTAGATAAGTTGCTGGAAGAGATCAGTAAGACTCAGGAGAAGGTGGGCAGTAGGGAAAAGTACATTAACTCTCAGCTGGAACATCTTATCACCGATTACCGAAATGCTCAGTCTAAACTCAGCGAGGTAAATTTCTTTTCCGACTAAGGCTCTTAAGGCAGACTTCTCAGGCTTGTCTCAGCTCATGAAGATAATTGAAGTATGGGACAAGTGTTTGTTAAATGTTTATTTGATGTGGATGAAATTAAATGAAAGTAATTTAAATCTTGTACCCAAAGACAATTCAGTTTAAAAGTGCTGGAATCTTCAAAGTGAGGTTGTTGTCCTTCATTATATTCACTCAGGCAAGTTAACTGTGGCTAATCCTGTGTGTGTGTGTTTGTGTGTGCATGTGTCTGTTTTCAGGCCAAAGAACTCTATCAGCAGGGCAGCGGAGGAGTGACAGAGAGAACCAGAACATTAGCAGAGGTAATAAAAATACAACATATCGCTGCTGTCAGAAGAAAACCTTGTATCTCCATTTTTGTTGTTTTTCAGTTTTTGATATAATTTGAAAATACCTTTTGTCCTTTATACTGTGTGTAAATTTCGTGATGAATGGACCCAAAGAAATGGCCCAAAGTTACACAGAAAAAGGTCTGGCTCCATTGACTTACATTAAAAGTAAAGTAATTTTATTTTCTTTTTCCCATAAAGTTACCATTTTGGAGATACAAGGTTTTCTTCTGACAACAGCAATATATGTAAAACATACAGACGCCTCATTTAATTTGCTAACAACAGCTTGCAAAACATTTGCAGACACCTCATATAATCATATATTTTAAATGACTTACTAATAGAACTGTTCCTATGATGTTCCTGTAACATTGTGTGCAGATCAGTGAAGAGCTAGAGAAAGTCAAACAGGAAATGGAAGAAAAGGGCAGCAGCATGTCAGATGGAGGTGAAACAGCACACACACTCTCACATTTACAGATAGTTAGCTCCCCTAACAATTGTTTCTTTCGGAATTCTGAGTGTTGTTGATATGTTTGTTTTGTGTACGTTTGTTCATAGCCCCGGTGGTGAAGATCCGTCAGAGCCTCACTAAACTGAAGCAGGAGATCCAGCAAATGGATGTGCGTATGGGGGTGGTGGAACACACGCTGCTGCAGGCCAAATTAAAGGAAAAGAACAACATGACCAGAGACATGCATGCCACACACATAATGGAGACTAGCACACACACCTACTTATAACACCAAATACACACACAATATTTGTATATTTATATAATGTTTAAATATGTCTGTGTATGTTGCTCAAATATCTTATTTGTTAATCTTTATAATAAACTTAATCTTTCTTTTATATAACGTATGTGTAAAGCTTTTAGTCTCAAAAAGACCAAACATACACTGGGTGTACCAACTAAAACACCATGTAAAATACTCAAACTCACTGGCCATTTTATCTAGTACTCCTACGATGTAAGTTTGTCGGTTTATTATTACTGACTGTATCCCATCTGTTGTTGCACAATTTAGCAGGCACCCCCTACCCTATCCAGCAATGGAAAGGGACCACATTAGGACTACTACTGACCAAATATAAATTGGTTAGGGAACCATTCTCAAATATCAGTGACAGTTGTGTGTTTTGCAGATGAAAGCGTATCGGGCAAAGCAGTGTTACTGGGGTTTTATGAAAGACTAGAGAATGAAAAAAATGAGTTACTCTCCCTAACAGCATACCTCTAAGGCAGTTGTGTGTAATAAGGTGGTTACGAAGTGTACACAGTGTTTAAAAACAGTCATAACAGTGCAAACATGCCACAGCCATTTTGGTGTCACTGCTGTGCTGAGAACAAAATGCACCTATATGATAGGTGTATCTGATAAAATGACCAATAAGTATTTTGTGTGGTAGTTTAATTATTTTGTGCATCCCCTGTATATGTTACTCACAGATTCATATTTGTTGACAGAAATTCGTAGGAACACAAGTTCCTATATAATTAAATGGTTACAGTGTAGTCGTTCAGTGGTTTGCGTTGAAATGCTTCACTCTAGAGAGGCTTAGTGAGTTAGAATTCTACATAGTGGAGGCGATAAGAACCAGACATCCAAAGTGTTTAGTGCCTCTAAAATCTACATCACAGAAAACTATTACATGAGTTGGTTATGCTGTCTGAGGTCCGTGTTATTGTCTTAAGAGAAGTATTTGGTCTAAAACATAATTTTTCATATCTGTTAATGACAGAGAGGTACATACAGGGTGTTGTAAGGCAAAATAGTCCCTAAAGAAAATATTTTTTCCATACATGAACCACTAATTTACCATTACAGATTTTAAACTCGGAAATCACATGGAAGGTCACCAGTCATTTTGTATATTAAATGAAATGGCTATGTTTGTGATGCAGAAATCGCAACCACTGGTTTCTATCACTAGTCAGAGTTGGTAAGTTTCTCTACAGTCATCGAA